CTGTTTTACAAGCATGACAATTAAACAAGTGTAGTGTGTGTTTTGGGGACAATGGGGACTTACATGTAGAAATTATTTGCGTGACAAATCTTTGGGGGATTGTGAATTTGGGGGACCCTGTTCCTATAACAGAAAAGAGACCTACATTTTAACTTTTGGATACTCCTAGGTGATTACTGTGACATTCTCAATAACTGTATGGTTGATGTTGTGAAAAAGGTTCAGGGTTTTGAATTTTGAGGGAAATTGTGAGGGAAACTGGGAGTGTTTTAACACATGACGCATGGTGGAGTCAAATTTGCATGGCTGGTTTATAGAACTGAGTCAATTCGAATAATTCACTACTCGAATATTCAACCTTCAATTTGATCGAATATCTGAATATCTTCAGTCGTATGGACCGAAGATATTCAGATGGCGGATTGTTGATAAAGAAACAAAATAAACAAAATCAGTTGCAATAACACACACAGTTGTACTTGTTTTATCAGTAGGAAAGTCACATTTTCTGACAATTTACAATTTGAACTTAAAAAAAAAACAGGGTCAGGGCAGTTCAGACAGCGTTGCCTTTGGTTTAGGGGGAATGACCAGTTTTACACAGATTAAAATGACACAAACTTGGGGGGTTCCCAAATTCACAATCCCCAATCTTTGTTTCCCTCCTTACAAGTGACAAATATGGTATGTCAGGCTATGAGAATGAAAGTGTTAGATTACATGTACATGTATGTCTGGAACATTTTAGAAAAGTGTGTTCAGTTTTTATTTTTAGCAAGACAGTTTGTGTTGTGCATGCGCAATTAACATGTAAAGCATGTGGTAGAAATTTAGGAAGGCTTATACCTGTATGTTGATTCTCATGCTGAAAAATGTCTCTGCGGCTTATATGCCGGGTGGCTTATGCGGCAAACTTTGAAGGATAAAGTCAGTCAAAAAAGTCCCAGCCGTGCCACAAGTACCACATGCATGTGGCGCAGTCATGTTCTCTTTAAGTGATTTTTACTTCCGAACCTTGCAGAATGAATAAAAATTTGAGTTGTCCAGATTTCAAGTTATTAACAGAATTCCCAAGTCATCGACACATACGTAAAATGTGTGCGTAATCTTAAACTTTACATGCTCTGCTGTGGCAACATGTTTCAGTGATTATATTTTCCCACTTTTTATTCAATCTCATGGTGTATTTTTATTGCAGACAGTCATTTTATAAAGATTTTTTATTTTTGTTACCTAAAGATTTCTTTCTACCGTTAAAACAAAGATCAACCACTTCAGTGGTGTACATGTACCTTCGTGTGGCAGATCATTTGTCTTTTCACCGATAGCGTTCAGTGCGACATGCCACAGAATTGCAGGGTTTTTTCACTTGGGTTTTCTGATGAAAACACTTTTTTGGATATTATCAGAAAGAGTCAGCACTTGGACTGTCCATGAATGGGTCTGTGGTAGCAGTCAGGCTAGCCTGAAAACTGGCTTTGTTGTAATTGCGGTGGTGCATGCAGTGAATGTGCCATGTGCAGCTTGTACGCAACACATGCGGTTCAAGTGTGACGACTCAAACCAGGGTCTCACTGCGGATTATTCATTTTTGAAGCGATTTGACGGTGTTTTTGGGTTGGCATCAATAAAAACCTCAAGATAACTGGACATGCTGGATGTAGTGTCGTAGACATAGAGGTATTTTCTTTACATAAAAGCCTATTCTTTTGGTTAGAAATTTAGTCGGCCTATGAGATAAAACAATCTTTTGAGTTTCGACTTTACTGACTTCGTTTCTACCTCCATACTTCGAGTTACCAAGATTTTATTGTACGTCCTCAACCGCATAACTTTTGCTGGCCTGCAAGACCTGATGCATTGCCAACGCAGGACCATCGACCACTTGAATTCGAGGACTTAAAATTCACTTTTTGTGGTGCCACTCGTTCGCATTTGACTTACTTTTATTAGGGTTGCATGTGTAGTGGAACCATTGATTAACTGTAGGCCGACATGCTGTCTTGGTGCTTGAGCATGCAGCACGATGACCTTGGTTAGATCGTAGTATTGCAGTTCAGCTTAGAAGTCAACTTTAAATCTTAATTTGCCGATTTTTGCGTGCTGCAGCTTATACACCGGGCGGCCTACATGTATATTCCAAAAATTACGGTACTGCATTCCTTGGTGCATGATGAACTCTGCTAAATTCTCACTACATTCAAGTGTGCTTATGAATGTTTATGCAGTCCAATTTTTTGCATGCCAGCCACCTAGTAATAGCCACGCCCTTACGATCAATATGAGGCCAAACAAAACCATTTTTGATTGGATGCTGTATTCCGCATATCGTACTACTCGACTTTAAGGCAAGTTGACAGAAACTGCACTGCCGCGAACACATACACTCAGGTAGCATTTTCGCACATACATGTACATATTCATGTACATGTACAGGTCACGGTGCGTACCCATAGCAGTGAGTATGCATGTGTCAGAGAATTTAATCTTTCGTGTAGTAGGTACACGTACATGTACACGTAGGTATGTGCATTTTATACCCTTTTACTGCAGCTTTATGATTTGGGATTTGAAATGTATCTTTGATGGCCATTTTATGAAAATAATGAAATCTTTTGGAAATAATGAATTTTTTTTGGCAGAGGGGTTGTGGAACATGCGGGCGGTGGACAAATCTATCTTTTCTATCAAATCTATAACTTTTATTCTCATGGCCATATTTGTTAATTCACCTTTTCCAAATCTAAAGACTGGGGCATATTTCCCTTTAAAATATTGTCTAAAGTGATGAATTATGAAAGAAAGTGAAAGATCCTGCAGTGCAATATGTGTGTGCATGTAGCATTTCATTTCAACTAAGTGTACTTATGTTTTGCCATCACCCAGTCACGTTTTTTTACACAGCTAGCATTGAGCTGATACCATAAAGTTTCACATTCACCTTCCATAACCCAGTGATCATGTGCCAGAGCAATTAATGTGCACAGTTGAAGCACTTATCAGATATGAATCCATGGTCTCTTTCAAGTTTCTTTTTTACCCCTGCAGGCAAAGATTATTCAACACACATGTATACAATGACTAAACTATGACCCCTCATTGTACCAGTGTCCAATATCTGTATGCAGAGTGTACATTCATGTACATTGTGTAGTTGTCCCTGAATCCCATCCCACTCCCTTCATGTAAATACTGTATTGACAGTCATGAAACAGCTTATACTGCAGAGCGGTATAGAGTCAGCTGCCTGTTTATGACAGGGACATTATGCTTAACAACTCTGCCATTTTAATTTTGTTTTGTTTTGTTTTGTTTTGTTTTTGTTTTACGGAAACAGCATTCAGAGACACAGTATGGGTGATGGCCCAATTCATCTGCTGACTGTGCTTGAGCCGAGCAAACTGTAAGTTCTTGATGTTCATGAGAGTTCTGCCAACCAAGTCAAGATGTTTGGCTATCCAGCCTTGGGCCACCGTCAGGGGGATGTTGGCTTCTATGATGCCCGTGGGGATGAAGAGGCTTTCCTGAAAGCTAAACCACCACTTTCCCAAGAGATCTTTCAGAGTTACAAACCAAAAAACCCTTGGCAGTCTAGTCCAACCTTTGATGAAGATTTTGTATTGGTGTGTGAATTCTCCGAGCTGGAGGGGCCAAAACCAGTGGTAAGATTCTAAACGTTTACTTCCACCAAACAAAAAATAGTTGTACATCCAGCTATCCACCTTGATCTAGAAAATTTCAAACGGGTTCTCTTAAAAATGTAGTAGCTTGCTCTTGTGTAATTATATGTGCACTCCTATGGCCATGTGTTTTCCAAAATTTTTAACTATGCATCTACCGGTACCTGGAAATATACCCAGGGTATATTTTATTTTTTTATGAACTAGTTCAAGCATGAAGTGCTTAATCCTGACAGAAACAGAGTTGTTCATTACTTCTTTTGGTCACATGTGGAATCTTTGGAATTGCCTTTCTGGAGCCCAAATCACTGTGTGAGCCACCATTTTGTTTGTCTTTTTCAGATGACCATACCCAAAGATGCCAGTGGCGATTTTGATCTGAATGACTTTGCACTGAAGATCATGGCCATTGACTACAATGCGACCAACATTGTCCGATCTGGGTAGGTTTGAGGAACCGATAGTCATTTGAAGACTGTTTTCCTGCCCCTGGATAAACATGCCAGTGATGGACATTGTTCTGTTTTTATTCCTTATTACAGGGGCATGTTCTCATTGGTTGAAGACACTGGTGTTGTTTTAGAAGAACCTAAGGAGTCAGCATGTGCTTACGTAAGATTTCTGCCTGAATTCACTCTTTTGAATTAAAATCTCGAATTTTTTTCTCAAAAGGTGTTACGGTGTACAGATTTGTCATTAAGTCATGAACCATGCTGTTATCTTAGTCATACATGTCTTTCCCATAGATCCCGTGAAATACTTTCAAAACAGTACAAACTCCAACTTCCAATAATATTTAAATGTCCATTAACTCTAGCCTTCCGAGATCCCTCAAAATTTTTCAGGAGAGAGTAGAAGATTTACAGAAATAAAGTAATGTCTTTTTTTGTATTTCACATGAGGCTTATTGCTCTAAAAGAAAAGGTACTTTTAGAAAGAATTTGCTCTTGTTATTCTGTACGATAGAGGATTTTGAAGGGTTCAGGAAGGTTTGTTGTTCAAGAACAGGTAAATCTATCTGAAATTCAAATATCTGTCATGACTTTAGGTCACACAAAGCTCCTTCACTGTTCACAACAGAAGTACCCATAGTAAGTTGATTTGAATGTGTTCTCATCTGGCGATTGGTGTTTCTAATTCAGGTTCATCATTTCACACTATATGATGTCATAGCAAGGGGCTATGTACGACCCTTCTGCATAGCATACGTCACCTCAGACCAACGGTATGTCATCAACTGAGATGAAAAGAAGAGAGACCCTTGATCTGTTTGTCACATCTCTAATTCTCTCTTCTAAAAGAACTTCTCTGTCCAAACCCCTTTGTATTAACAGTATTGTAAATGACTTTTTGTAATAATTCTCATTTGCACTCAACAAATTCTTGGTGGAATGCAATGAATATAACAGGAGCTTTAACAGTCTTATAGTACATGTCCTTTTGAAACCAGCCTTTCCAACTCTGTGCGATGTAGGCATTAAGACTGCACAACAGTTAAACAGATACATGAAGCAAATGTACATGTAGTTGATATCCATCAAGTGCCTTGAACAAGGAAACATTTTTGGATACCTCGCAAGCCCACAGATTGATAGAGTTCACTCAAACATAACATAGTTTCTTGTTCCCACACCTTGTTTCACAGAAAAATAATTAGGAATTTGGAGTGGTTGATGACACGGTTCAGCAAAGTAAGTGAACTGTTCCGATTTGGGAATCGGTGCCAATTTCAGGGAGACCTGAAATGCCGATTAGCAGACATCCATTATACCATGGGTAAGTCTACTTTTGCAAAAAAAAAGGGAGAGTGTTAAGAACAAATTTCTCATTTGTTATGTTGAATACATGCAAACTTACATTCTGCCTTTGGATTTAGATTAATACATGGGTGATTCCAGAAATTAGGGGTCCATTTTTTGGTGTGTCCCTGTCACATGTGACGTGATTTTGTAAGTTCGGAACACATATTCTTATTTCCACGAGTGATGAATTAATGCAAATTACCTTCCAAACAGATAGTAATAGTTTGAAATCAATTCTCGTGATATTTCCATGTCAAATAACAAAGGTCAGATGTAACAGGGACACAATAATGTCACACTTTTGGACCCTTAATTTCTGGAATTACCCACATGCATGTACACGTAATGTAGATCTCTGGGTAGAATACCTTCTTGTCACAGGATTCTTATGCTAAGCTCTAATATGCTGAGAGTATGATGTCTCCATCAGGAAGTGCACAGAGTTATCCTAAAGAGACTTTTTAAATTAGAAGTGAATTTGTCATATCGAATTTGTTGCCTTCAGAAGACTTGCAAACACAGATGTCAAAGGTCAATGGTACAACGCAGGTCATGCCATCAGATGGAAAAAACACTGGCGCTGAACACAGATCCAAGCAAAAATATGTTGCATTGGAGAAGGGACTGCGTGAGATTCAGGACATAATGAAACTAATGGAGCCAGAGCTGGTAAACATCTCCTTTGATTGACTAATCATAGGACTCCTTAAGAATTTGATATGAGGAACACCAACAAGTTACCTGAACTTCACACAAGCTACTGAGGGTGTTGTTCATCATTATGTTTTGCATAGCAGTAGATAAGTAGAGTTGCATGCAGCATTGAATGGCTTCAAATGAATCCGTGCAGTAAAAAGATGCAGGGCCTGTTTGTTTCACACGGATCTTGGTCTCGATCAGTGATCCCCAAACTGGTTCGCTCCGTCCATCAGGCAATTTGTGGCGTCAGTGAATCAGTGATGGATCACGGATCAGAATCTCGATCGAGATTCTGATCCGTGTAAAACAGAGGCCCAGAAGATTAGTGCCTGTTACGTATAGCTCCCATTTTGTGTCCATAGATAGGAACACTGCTTGTCCTGACTTTGTTTTCCTTCTGTTGTACCTGTTTGCTCCATCTGTATCTTGAATTGATTCCTAGCCTATTGCTGGAATTGTTCTATCTTGTTAATTCCAAATCGTCTCAACCCACCAAAATGCAGATCCCAGTATTGTAGCATGTCACAAATCCAAGAATGAGCATGCCACTGCCATTACCTTACCCCAACAATGATCCTAGAATTTCAATGAAGAATAAAGCTTGCTCCCTGGGTTTACTGTCTAGCAGTATATTTTGGCAGACAAACAATCCAAAAGGAGCCTCTCCTGATTTCATTTGGCCTGACTGTTTCATATAGACCAATCCCAAACTGGAGACCCTTTTCAAAAACTTGGAACAGCTGTCAAGTAGAAGAAAATGTAAGCCTAGACGGCACCACCGTTCAAGTAGTATCCATGAAGAAGGTTACCACAGCGACGGGGAGGAGAAACCTTCAGTAGATTCTCATCAGAGAAGAGTCCGAAGAAGTGAGTGCTGGTGACATGCATTCTGTCAGCATGTTTATCTGTGAATGTGATGATAATGTAATATGACATGACATCCATCACTGAATGAAAATATTCTTTCCACTACACAAATCTGAAGCATTATTACTTCTCTTTACAAGGCCTGATTAAATCCCTAATAAATCTCTGCCTAAACAAAGGCTTTGCAGCCTTTATGAGTTGAGAAATTTTCTCACCTGTTACATTTTGTGGAAGAACTTCCTATGGTATAGTTCCGCCAATTATGTGACTGTTCCATTTATTGTGGATTGGAGTTTCCATTTCCTGTGGAATGGAAATTCCTGTTTTTCCTGTTCTTCTTTTGCTGTGTGTTAAAATAAATAATTCAGTGACACATGATCAAGAATGCACCAATCAGACAACATGATGCATGTAATTAGACAAATTAAACATTTTGCATTTTTTTGTCGTAAACTTTCAATCTCTGCTGATGTTTAGGAATATTGTGCTTTTTACCCTCACAGACAGTGCTCAAACACTGTATACTCAGTGTTTTGGGGTAGCTTTTGGGAAGGTTTCAAAAACCTGCTTCCATGGAGTTCATCCATGTAGGCAGGAGCACCTGTATACTAGGACAAAGAAACTGAATTAACCTGGCAAAGCCTCAATATTAAATTGTGTATGATCTTGAAGCTAAAAGGAAACCCATCGATTTCCAGTTGGCTCTTAAAATGCGCAATTCATGTAGCCAGTATTTAACTACTGAAGTAGTCTTTCTTCCTTTTGCAACCTCTGCAGTCAGTACTTGTGATAGTCTGAGTGACTTGCAGTCATCGCTAGATACACCATCGTCATATACACCACAGATCATCCGACTGGATGGATATCGCAAGTTTGATATACGACTACGAACTCTTCATGAGCTCTGTGGGTGGGGCTACAAGGCTGCGTTAGGCAAGGTCCGCAAAATGCATAAAGTAAGTCAGTCTGTTACAGTGTTGTAGTCGAGTACTTTTTGCATACCAGTTTTACTGCCAAATATTGAATTGGTAAGGTTAAAGCAAAGCTGTAGAACATGAACATCTTTTAACGTGCTAAAAATGTCCAAAAAAGTTTCCAAGTACAGCATTAGCATAGCTTCTTGTTTTATAGAGTTATTCTTTCTCTCAATTATGTTCGAATCTTGTGCTTCCATGTCTCCAGCATCTGAGTAGGAATCCTCTGATCTTGTATATGGAGAAGAAAGAAGCTCAGTTAGTTGACCCTACCTCAGCTTTGTTGTCCATTGGCAGAACAGTGGTGATCAACTTTATGCAGAACATCAACTGGTAAGTGCAAAATGCATTCACAATATGGTGCTTGGGGAACATGGTCCAACTGTCCAAGGGGAAGTTTGCGGTAGCACTATGTAAATTTCTTTTACATCTGGAATGAGTAGGGTTCTGAAAAGAATCTCAGTGCTTGGATAGTATGACGCTGTCCGTTGTCAGGAGACAGATCATGCTATCTGAAAGGTTGATGTCACTGATTTCTCTCTTAGGACCTCACTCACAAGTAATGAAAAGAATGGACAGCAGTCTGTTTGGAACATTGAGCTTCAGAACCCAACTCTCTTCTGAAAGATATTTTCTTTCTCCATACTTTAGTTAGAAAATAATTTTCTTTTCTAGATCTCCTTCATGTGCAATACAGACAATCATAAATAAGATAGACACAGACAGACACAAACTCTGGAGCACATTGGTAAGGCCAAGGTGCTTACCTCACTCACACCGCAAGATATATGTCTTTATTCTTCTAAGCAAGTATCAAGCATCAAACAGAGCTTAAATCTGCAACTTCTGTGGCCTTAAAGGCCCAAATAAAAAACTTTACATCAAAAAATATGATGCTCTGATTATGCACCGAAACATCTCAGCAAACTATCTTTCAAAATGGTTGAGTGTCCTGGAGATTTGTTGAGAGTGAGCTCTTTGTTTAGAGGCCCATAGCTGTTTTAGGGGAGCAAAACTGTTTCTTGATCGGGTTTAATATATGTGTTTCTGGCTCTGTTTCTTCTTCCATCTTCCATGTTTTGAAATTAAATACATGAAATTAAGTGACGGTATCCGTCCATTGGAAGCAGTGGTTGGTCCTCCTAATCCGAGTTTGTGTAAACCAAAGTTCTCGGTGTTTGGAACCAAAGGGCTGAGTGCTTGCAAAAACAACCTCTCTAGTTCTAGTGTAACTAAGCTTATGTTTTGTTGGGATGAGACCATGAATAGGGAGCCTTTCGCTTTAAATGCTATGGTCCAACGAGTAACATTACTGAGGTCATTAAATCGGAGAAAATTGGTATAACAAATGAAAAACACAAACAGGATGCGTAAATTGTCTACAGCAGCATCTGGGTGCCCATGAGCTTTATAAAGTTCCGTCATTGTTTCTGGAGACACCAGCCCCTTTCTGTTGGGAGCTGAGGAGGTTAGCCTTCTTTAGCCTGGTAGAAATATTTTGACCAGAGGGTGCTCTGTTGGTGATGGCAGGCCTGTAAGCTGTGTGCCCAAGTAGCTGTTGCCACCACAAATCTGCTCCAGACTTTCTACATGTACCTGTACGGGAAGGTGCAGATATATAAAGTGCAAAGTCTGTTGGGTTGATCGAGAAAGCTTGGACGTTGGTCTTGGATGAAGCTCACCGCTTCCACTGTCTCCAGCTGGCACTGTATCTTTTTATTGAGGATTTTGTCCTGGATGCAATGAAAAGCTTACGCAGGAGACCGTCGGCAAGATCATGGAGCTCTGGGTTGCTGATGGAATGGGTTAGGGATAACCATCAGTCTGAAAAACATATGGACCAGGAAAAGCAACAATATGCTGACAACAAAGGCGTGAAAGTGCAACATGTGGGAGGGCAAAATGCTTCTGGTCGAGGCTAAGGCTGACAGAATTCAATCTAATTGCCTGCCAATAAACATAATTATAGAGACCTATTATCTCAGTCCTCATATGATAAATATGACAAACTCTATGTGCGGTGGTTATTTGTTACCAGGGATTAATGCTTGGTGTGGATCATCTGTCAGACATTTTCAGTGCTCTGTGGCCTTGAAAACCCCCAACTCGTGGAAGAAACGTGGGTACAACCTGGATGATTGGCAAAAGTCACACAGTTTGATTTCTCGAGTGACTGAAAAAGGAAAAGAAAACACAAAAGTGGGTTGGTGGAATAATGTGACGTGGAAAGATTTGGGTGGGAGGGTTTTGGGGTCAGTGAGGTTACCTGCTCAAGTGAGAGTGAAGCTACACAGGGAATCCCTGCATTTAAAGTGGAATGCAGGGATGTGTTTTGTAATAGGATGCACTACGAAGAGCCCAGCCCACCTGTCATCCAATAATGAAAAGAAACATAACTTCAAACAGTGTTACTTTATACTTTGTCACATTGCTACCAGAACTTCACCATGCAAGTCTACAAATCTAATGATCCAAGCCTCAACTTTTATGCAAAGTCACCCAAAGTGCTTTTTAAGTTTAAAGCTTTTATCCAAGTTCAATCTCTGCAGGGGAGAGAGGAACAAAGCTGTAGACCGCGCACGAACCAATGATTGCAAAGTTTATGCAGATTTTTATTTCAAAGGGTGCAAAGTGTTACAATGCACAGATGAAATCAGTTGAGACTGTCAGTGTATATTTGCTAGACTGGGTGACATCCCAAAATAATGAATGGGGAATTATCTTATGAATGTACATGTATTGTGTATGGGAAACTGGTTCATTAGTTTGTTTTGCACAGGGACTGTGTATCCGACAGTGGAACTTGCCAAGATGAGATTGACAGACCCTGCCATACACCCCTGGAGCGACTAGCATCGGTAAAAACAATTTGACTTTGGTCCATTGATTAGTTGCAGAGCACCTCCTATATGTGCCTAAAGTTACCATCATTGCCAAATATTTCTATCATTGTCAACTAATTTTTCCCCAGTTTGGGGGGCTGTTTAATTTTTCCCCAGTTTGGGGGGCTGTTTTTCCTGCTTGTTGAACTTAACTTCTTCAACAGAGTTTTCTTCAGTTGGTTCAAGATTCAAGGAAAAAATTAATCACCCTAAAATAAAATCATTACTTAAAAGTCTGGTGCTTCTGTTGTACCGAAATCTCAAAAGCAAAAAATTCTGAAAAAGTATTGAAATAGTCTATCAAAAGTATCAAAAGTAAGGCATGCATGTAACAATAAAAAATGTCCATCCTACAAAAACCTCAAATTAAAAAAGTTTGAAAATGTATCTGTAACAAGCACAGATCATAACAAATGTTTAGATAGTGTTCTTGTTGGACTTTATGGTATATTTTTTCTATACCTGCTTGGTCTACTGAGTGCTAAGCCTTCGGAAATTTTTCAGAAGTGTTTTCTAGCACATCCACAAACTTTCCTTAGTTTACCGTTATGGCATTGAAAGCTTTCAGTTTGCACATGAATATAGTCGTTTGGGTTGTTTTGACTTTCCAGACGATATCAACATCCAGTGTCAGCCCTTCTCCTGACGATGAATCAATGCTGGCCTATGAAGCGAGATTTGTGCCTGGTACGGCATACGCATCCATGGAGTAAGTAGAACTGTTGTGCTGTATTGGCTCAATGCGTGAGCTACACATGCACTACACATGACAAGAAAATGTTACTGCGGTTGCATCATGCTCATGTATATCTCGTGCAGTTTTAAACTGGGCACATGTATGGATTTTGGCATCAACTCACAGCATTCTGTTGGTTGAAGAGGCATTTCATGAAACTTAATAACCCGAACATGAGTGCAATCATTTTCAATTTTGTACATGTACTTTCTCTGGTTGAGTCAGTTACTACAGTAAAGATATTTGAGTTAGAAAATGTTTCAATTAATTTGTCATGTATCTGTCTTAAGAACTGATTTTTCATCGGCCTTGAATGATCACATGACGGGCGACATAACCATATGTCACACTTACCATTAGATATCACGTAAGCCAGTTTGCATAATATCACACGCACACATGCACATGCATGCTTCAGCAATGTGCCAGATCATGGCGGGACTGCTAATCACTAATGTTCAAAGATTCCTTTGTCGACCTTAATTCCCGTTGGAAAAAACAAGCAAAACATCATTAACCACTTTGTGCCGGGGCATTTTTCAATGTTGATGATGCTGGGCCGACATGACTATCATTTTTTCCATTTTCAAAATACTTCAAAAATTCATCATTTCATTTAACAGTCATTTATAGCCGCACGAAGTAATCTTTAGGCACTACTCTAAGTTGACAGGTAAACTTCATTGACGCCCGAGTATTTCAGCCAGGCCGGCAGCCTTGTAAACAGAGCCCAGATTGTGCGGTGTTACACAACTGTCTTTTGTTCACGAACCTGGCTCAGTGCACTGCTGACCTCTTTTCAATAGGGGCCAGATTAGCATGCAGCGGTGCTATGTGGCTCATCGCTGCGGTGGTGGAGCGCTTTTGTCCCCGATGGTAATCCACTCGCTCTCAAAGCCCCAAACCCTGGTATACGGTTTCAAAACAAGGCTGGATTATCGCCACTTTTGAGAGTGAAAAATGTTGGTTATGCCCAGCAGCCTGGTCTTTTGTTCGGAGTACGGTCTTTTGTTACCTTCCTTTGTCCGAGTTCGGAGACCCCGGCCATGCATATAAACCATACGTCTCCGATTTCGGAGTCCCCAGCAGGATGTGGTTAAGACAGAGACATAACAAAATGATAGTTGACTGCTTTGATGTGGGATATGATGTTTTGAATGCACTCTGGTATGCATAGTGCCAGAGTCAAAGCTGAGGTTGCTGTACATTCCTTGGGTTTTCAAAACGTCATATCCCATATCACAACAGTCAACAGTAGTTAATCGTTTCCTAATAATGGCTTTTGTAGTTTCCTTGAAGAGTCACTTGTGCCTCTCATGAAAATGATTGTGACAAAGTTTACATCAATATAGTTTACTAACTACAGTGTATATATGAATCTTTTGTGATTTGTAGGTCTCTGTACTATGATGTGAATGAGAGCCTTGAGGAAAGTAGTGATGATGATGATAATGACATCACAGAGATTCCAAAAAAGTTGCTAGGCAACGGTGTGTTTATCACATCTGATGATGGCAGTTGGCTGGATCTAGATGTCAGTCCCAAGGAATTGGACATCACTTCATCAGTTGGTAAGAAGCTCTTTACGAAAGTGATATTTATCGTCATACCCAGCAGTCGATTTTTTGTGCCCAAATTGATTCACCTGGTTTAACTCTTCAGCTATATGGTAGGCAACATTATATATACACAGAGGGGTTATCTGGTGTGGTTTAGGGCTATAATTTTGGTTTTAATCTCTAAAGTAAAAGAATTACCCACTGTAATTAATCAATTTTATCCTGTTTTAGTATTTTTGGTTCAAATGTCTTATGTTGCGTTTTGTTTTAATATAAGATTTTAGTGAGTGAATTACCTAAATGGAAAGCAATTGTCCATATTTTTGTAATGTGGACACAAATTTGAATTTGAACTACCAGACACATGAATATTTACATGTAAGAAGGAATGAATGAATAACCAGTGTTTTAATTTATTTACATTTTATTTGAGTTGCCTCATAAATATGATAGATTTTTAAATATAAAATGCAAAACAATTATTTTACTGAGTTACCCAATGCAATATCATATCATTGAAACTTTGAATTGAAGTTCTAGTTTTAAATACTGTTGATATGATTACTATCTCACCAACAGCAAACACCCTGAAGCGGAAGGGCAGATCAGTCAGCAAAACAGACAGTGCCCCTGTAGATGACATGGATAACACTACATTAGTCAGAGAAGCTACATCTGTTAATTACAGGGCAGATTTCAACATGACATGTTACCCACAAAACAAGGGTTGTCTTTTTGAACGTAAGTGACCTGCATTGTAAGTGAATTACCGTTGGAATTATGTTTGTACTGCATTCACTTGCTCATTCATTCAGATTTATTATTAAAACACTTATACAAAAATAAAGTCATAAGACTTAAACATTCTGGTTTTCAAATTACCGTACAATACACATTGATAAGTAAAAAGTGACACAAAAGATAATACAAAGATAACCAAAAATAGCATTTAAAACACAGCATTAAGTGCTTTGATCAGGGCTGGCACTGATGATCTCCCATATAGTACCAAAGTGAACATGCCACGCACACAATTAGTGTGTAAAAGGCATTAGCGCGAGAACCAGGGCGTGAGCCAACACGCATGTGTACTCCATTTGTTTGCACTGTACTTTTGGGTTCACAGTCAAGTCACTCTTCAGTACTCTATATCGTTGGGTTCTGATCCTGGGAATGTCCAAATGCCTAGTGTTCTTCAAAGTATGTTATGATAGATATGTTGCATCTGCATTTTGTTAAAATTGCCACACATACCCTTGGTAATGAATGGGGCTCCGTGTAGTGGTGCTTCTTGCGCCCGTCCTCTGTATCTTAAAAACAAAACCAGTGGTATATCCAGGTCTTGAAGAAGGGGAATTTGTTTCCTGAAGGAAATCCAACTCTGTTTATTCATGGAAGAATCCTCAGCCCTCCCCTTTAAAAGGGCAGAAAAATTCGCAGCATTTTTCAAGGGAGGGGAACTGTCTCGAGCCCCCCTCCCCCCACACACATACCACTGATCATATCTCAGTGGGATTCACCATGAAGTTTTCAGCATCTAGTTGAGGGTTACTGAGAATTTCCTGAATCAAGTCATTGAACCCTTTCATGGAATTCAACTACAACTACAAAACATAGTAGATCAAGTTTTTTTACCATGCCGTATGCAAGCACACAAGTCAAGGATGCAGCTGTCAATGTTAAGTGCTGTTTTATAACAGACGGTGTAGTTATGTGTACACGTATGTTTGCATTCTGTGAACTACATATGAATGAGGTTTGTGTATTGAACATTAAGAGGTCATTGTCATGGCTGTACTCTTTCTGTGCAAGTCTTGTACACATGTAAGCAATAATTGGTTACTCACACCCTGCTTCATTTGCGCTTGAATTGTGTATACACGTATGCCATGTCATTCAGTTCATAAGGCCCCCCAGTCTGCCCCCTTTTATTGCTTGGAGTTTGTAGTGATAGCAAAATCACTGCTTAGGATGCACAATGTGGCAGCAGACATACTGGTCCTTATTCAAGGTATTGCACGTGGTCAGAACTATGCAGGCATGCTCAGAACAATGCACACATGCTCAGAACTGTTTAAAAGGACTGATATGTTTGGCTCCACCGAGTGTCTCAAAGTCTCTTATTGCTGTTGCGGTTATTTTTTTTCCTTTTCATCTGTAGACGCCAACTTGCCAACAATCAGTGCTGACACATATGTTGTTAGGAGAAATAAGAAAGTAACTGTAGGAAGTTATGCCAGTAGAATCAACAGCTTCAATAAATACTTGCCAGGTAAGTAACTGGGAATATAGCACAAACTGTGTCAAGTTAAAACCTTCAATTATTAAAGCTCTATGGTCAAACTGCTAAATGTAGGGGTGTGCATTTGTGGGTATTTTTAGAACCGGGTACCTGTTTTTTGTTAACATTGGGTACCCGGGTACCTGGAAAAGAGATCGCCTAATAACAAATGGCATTGCGCGCGACCCAGTGGATTATGTGCCCAAAACACGGTTCTTTTTGGTACATAGGAAGCAAGCAGAACATCGTTCTAAACGTCTGAGTTAATCTCTCCTACCTTTTTATCAAACGAAATTGTTACCCTCAGTTTGCAAATTTTTTGTGGGTGTATGAAACAGAAAAACAAATCTTCACGGGGAACGTCAGAAAAGAGAACAGAGCTGCAAACCACCTACATGATATACGCACCTGCAAACGCTCAAAGCAAATGTCCCGGATGTTGCATGACCACGTACACGCGGAACGCATGTGACGTGCACAAATGGTGAGCGCTGGTCGTGTCACGTGCAGACCAGATCAGTGCTATGTACGTCACAGGTTAAAAGGCTTAAAGTTTTATGTACAAAAATACCACAGTAACTCGAACAATGCCCACACCATTACATCCACTTATTTTGAAGTTTCTGATTAAAAAAAACCCGCCACCAAAATGCTTCAAACGGCGTTGAAAGTATCTGAAGTCTAAATAGGGTCAGGAGTCATCGCAAGTTCATTTCTTTTCTGACGAGGACCAGCACGTTGCATAAATCAACGTAGCTGCAACTGTGTAATCCTGGCTTTCAAGACACTGGAACTAACCTGATTGCAACGCGGGCCCAATTGTAGTCCCCTTCAGGCAGTCCAATTGCTTACACTGCAGTGGCCATGTGACCGTAAAAAGAAAGGTCATGTGACCACACATAGGGAAGTCCAAGTGAAAAAAATAGCAGCGCTTCACGTTGTTAAATGACTAAGCGATACGAAAGTTTTGCCACACGAAGGTACGTACCACGATGAAGTGGTTTAGTTTAATAGATACTTTTTCGGGATAACTCCATTACCCTGAGGTTCAGTTGTCGAGATTTTAATGTATAAGTACTTCGACAAATGACATTTGATTGGCCGACTGTATTATGACTTGCACCTGTCAACATTTCCTTTTTTTCGAATGAAAAAATACTTGGATTTGAAATGCTTTAGTACATACAGAAAACATCATTCCTGCTCTTTTGGTCAATTCCTCATCCACAGTTCCGCTGAATCACTGAGGAAATTCAAGTTGCTTTAATTTAAAAATAATTTTGAAATGGAATATTTCTTGGTATAAAACTTAACTAAACTGGTTCTCTGACTCTTTGGGTTTGTAGCGCACATTTAGTGCTTTGATTATGAAAAGAGGCCGATCAACCGCACAATTTGTGCGTGATCACCACTTACTGCATGCCGTGTGGAGTCCCAGTACCGCTGGAATATTACACAGTCTGCTCTCGCTTCGTCGTCAATTCCGACATAAAGTAATTTT